GGACCTGCGGGGTCGTCTCCAACGGCAGAAGTGACTTCCCATGGTCCGAACCATTTCGGAAGGAGTTTGCGCGAAACGTCCTGCTCGAGCGCAAACTCCTCTTAGAGGACCCAAACAAGGTCTCCCTCGCAGAAAGGACATGGAAGTCGACGTCGGTTAGCTTGCTGCTGCATGCGGATTTGAGCCTTTTGCATATTTGCACGGGCTTTGATCAGCAAGTCCCGGTACTTCCGAACGGAAGCGGGAGAGCAAGGGACGTCTATGTCGGCAGCCTGTGGCAAAAGGAGATCAGCGAAGATCCGTGCTTTCTCTCCACCATGATGTAGCTCAAATGGTGTGACCCAGATCGTCGGGTGCACCGAAGTGTTATAGGCGAACTCGATGTCCGGCAGCCGGTCAACCCAATCTTTCTGGTCGGGACAGATGAGCATACGCAACATCATCTGAGCGGTCTGGTGCGCTCGCTCCGTCTGGCCATCCGTCTGCGGGTGCCGAGCCGAGCTCGGGTTCATTGTCGTACCGGACTCAGCCATGGGGGAAGTCCAAAAGGCTGACATGAAGCGAGTATCTCGGTTGCTCACACTGTCTTCCGGAACACCCTGGTTGGTAATCCAACCGGTGTGCAAGAGTCGTGCGAGCTCGAGTGCTACAGCATGGTACTTGCAAGGAAGAAAGCGAGCATACTTGCTCAAACGGTCAACAACCGTGAGAATACCGTCTGGCCATGGCGATCGCGGGGGAACGGGCCTGTCACGTCCATAGCAATGGAGAGGCGCGGTGCCCGAGGAATCGGCAATGGTTTCAGTTCGCCGACGGGGACTTGAGATCAACCATTGTTACGGTGGCAAACTGCACATGACTCAATGTACCTCGTGATGTCATGAAAGACGTCGGGCCAGTGAAAACGTTGGCGGAGGCGTGCTAATGTGCGGTTCACGCCAAGGTGTGCCGAAAGTCGTGCATCCTGGAATTCGCCGAGAAGACGAGTCCGTAAGATGCGATCTTGGGGCACAACTAACAAGTCCTTTCCTCTCGTGTGAAGGAGAAGGAACCCGTCGGAAATCCGATAGTGGCTAGCCGGCGGGTGATCCGATGAAAGCTCCGCGTAAAGCGTAGAGTAACTCGAATTGGACTTATAGCCTTTGACGAAATGCGGCTGCAGATCGTCATCGAGGACGAATGTCGTGGTCACAATGGCACAAAAGTCGGGCCGTCGTGAGAGGGCGTCCGCAGCTCGATTGGCGGGACCGGGAATGTGGCATGGGTCAAAGTCGAACTCGTCGATGTAATACATCCATCGACCGATCGTGCTAGTGACCGTATCTTGCGTTTTGCAAAAGGTCAACGGATTGTTGTCCGTATTCCATTTAAAACGTCGACGATCGAGAAGAAAGTGGCGCCACCGTTTGAGAACGGTGACGAACGCGAGTAGCTCTTTCTTCCTAGCGTCGTCGAGAGTGTTGACGAGAAACACCTTTTGGGAGAAGTACTCGACCGGATGCCAACCGTCGTCGTGACACTGTTCCAACACCGCACCAATACCGTATCCCGAAGCGTCCGTAGTCACTTAGGTGGGAAGGGTGGGGTCGTATATACGGAGGGCAGGTGCGGCTTGCATCGCTGCCTTCAACGTAGTGAACGCGCCACGGGCTGCGTCGTCGAACTCGAAGGGCACCTTCGGGGACTGAAGCTGTCTCTTATACACATCTAGATGTGTATAAGAGACAGATCCACGATGGCTTGGATCTTATCCGCTAAGGGACGAATGCCTTTCGGCATAACATAATGGCCCAAATACTCAAGCTCCTGCTTGGCGAACTCGCACTTGTCGCGGTTCGCTTTGTACTTGGCCAGTCGCAAACGATCCAAAACAGCGCGAAGGTGTATGATGTGCTCGTCCAACGTCCTACTATAGACCAAGATGTCATCGAGGTAGATGAGGACGTTGCGATCAAGCAAGTCGCGAAACTCAGTCGTCATAGCTGCTTGGAAAGTCGCAGGGGCATTGGTGAGGCCAAATGGCATGACAACCCACTCAAAATGCCCGTACCGCGTCTTGAACGCGGTCTTGTACCAATCTTGAGGCTGGATTTCAATCTGTGGTAACCCGACTTCAAGTCCAACTTCGAGAAGTACGTCGCGCTGCCTAACCGCTCAAGGAGATCATCAATCCGAGGGAGAGGGTCGGCGTTCTTTACGGTTTGTGCGTTAAGTTTGCGATAATCGATGCATAACCGTAGATCTTTGTTCTTCTTCCGGACGAAGAGAACAGGGGACCGTATGGCGAGCAACTAGGGCGAATCCAACCCTTGTCGAGAAGGTCATCGAGTTGTGCGCGAAGCACCTCGAGTTCCTCTTCGCTCATGCGGTAGATACATCCACGCGGAGGGACGGCGCCAGCCTCGAGAGTGATGCCGTGACGTATGGGCCGATCCGGAACCATTCCGGTGGGAGCCTCGAAGACGTCTCYATACTCGTCCAAGAGGTGAGTGATGCGTGGGTCCAGCGGTGACGCGGCTGGTCCGCCCGACAAGGGGAGAGCATGCAAGAATATAAGGCCCATCTCCTCGACGTCATTCTGAGCTATGGCGTCGCGAATTCTCGCAACGGAAACCACGTGACAAGCRATCGAAGTGTGAGGGGTCGCGACCGTAAATGGGACTAACACTCCGTTCCGATCACGGATGTAAACGGTTCGGTCATGAAAGTTCACCGGATGATCGGTGCTACGCAACCAAGACATGCCTAGAATCATGTCGAACTTGGTGTCGAGGATGTCAAAAGACACCGGCTCGCACGCAAGTGGCGCAAAGTATACCGGAACGTCGTCGACGCATCGGTCAATCGACTTTTGCGTGCGGCCGTCCGCGAGTGTAACTTGCGTAGGTTGCGTCTTCCTTCGAACGCGCGGGCCAAGACCTGCGCGGGCCATAAAGGCTTGGCTCATAAAGTTGCGAGACGCTCCGCAATCAATCAAGGCACTACAGGTTGCCTTTCCGATTTGAATGCGGATATAGAGCGAAGGCGCGTCGGTTTCGGCGTACCTTTGGGTGGCGTACTCGCGGTCAATCTTCGCAAGATAGGAGCGGAGATCGACAACCGCTACCCCGTCGTCCGTCAACGGAGCTGGTACTGTAGTGTGCAAATAGGAGCGTAGATTTGCCATCAAGGCATTGCAATGCGGCCTTGGCAAGGTTCCGGTCGAGGGTAGAGGCATCCAAGCGAAGTCCTCTCTCGTGAGTGGGTCAAGTTCCTCAAGTCTTGACCACGTCGTCGAGTCCTCGGAAGTCGGTGGCGAGCTGACCAGATCACTTGCCGACGGTGTACAGGTTGCGCATACGCAATCTAAGTGCACGTGGCTCGGCTGGTCTAGTGGTGGTACCAGCTGGGCGGCATAATCCTCGTACGTAGCACGAGAATCAGCGACTAACGCATGCTCCCCGGTAGTGACATCGATTGCTAGCAAGGCAACCGGGTCCGGCGGAGTGAGGAGAGACGTCGCCCCTCTCCTTGCGTAACTCAGTTTCCCAAGTTAGCTGGACGGGGTACACGTGCCTTGCCCTGTTCGGGGCACTGTGCAGTCAAGTGAGTGACTCCATTGCACCAAAGGCAATATCCGTACCGTTGACGAAGGTCATAGATTTCCTTGGTGATCTTGTATGCCGTCCATGGCTGCTGCCCAGTTCCCGTCGATGCCGTCTCTTGTGTCGCCTTGTTCTTCCGAACTCTCTTGGGACGCTTCGGCGGGAGCGCTGCTACAATTCCTCCATCAGTCGAGGATGCTGCTGCAGCGTGGAGATCGACTGTTTCGTCAGAAATCACGACATTATTATGTGTCGGTCGTTGATAGCCCGGCTTAGCCACATAATGCGGTTGGGACTGCCGTTCGTTTGCGGCCTTGTCATCCGTTTGGATGACCAAGTTCACACGATCCAGGATGGCCTGGAATGAGGCGTAATCGTACTCGTTGCCGAGTGCGGTTCGCAGTCCTACGCACGATCGCGAGAAGAACTCGGATCGTTGGTTCGTAAAACTCAAATCGAAACTTGGCGTGGTCACTTTCTTTTGCCACTTGGTTGTCCAGTCTCGAGTTGGCATATTCCCTTGAGAGCAGGTGTACACCTCGTTCATGGCCGCCTTCACGACGTTGCGGACCATGAACCAAGTGAACCATAGCTTCTCGAACTCCTTCCACGGGATGTGCGTGTGGAGTTCGGCGATGGTGCATTTGTTGGTAGCCGCCAGATGGTTCATCCAGGCCTGCACTCCTCCAATCAGTTGTAAGTAAAGCGCCTTCATCATGTCGTCAGCCGGGACAGTGCGGCATGCTACTTCCGTGAGGAAGCGTTGCCACCATGTCAAGGCGTCCGACTTGTTGTAGTCGTCGAACTTGCTGATGTCGAAGTGCGGCATCTTGTAATTCTTTGTAGCGGCGTCCGGTCTTGTCTGCAGTTTGGTGATGCTCGTCTTCATGGCGGCCACCGTGCTGCTGATCTTGTTGAGCTTGTTGAGCTGCTTCGTCGCGTCCGTCGTGCAGCCTGGCGCTGCTGAGGTCTTAGCCTCGATGTCATTGATGCGTGCGAGAGTAGAGTTCAAGAGCTGTTGCTGGTGCTGCTGCTGCATTGCTGTGTCGCGGACGGCGGCCGTCAAAGCAGCCATCTCTTGCTGATGTTGCTGTCGTTGTTGTCGTTCTGCGAGCAGGTGTGCCTGCAGCAGTTTGTTGTTCCACATTACTCCCCTCATCGCGCTCAACATCAGGGTAGCCAGGTTACTTCTCTCTCCCTCCGCCTGTGTCGGAGCCGCCTGTGCTTCCGTAGGCACAAAGAACATGCCTTCGAGTAGTGTTGTCCACTGACTCTCATGTTGAGTCAGGGACTTCGTGCTGGCAGCATTCCGTCTGTCTCGTGCCGCTGCGTCAGCCTCAGCAGTCTGCTGAGCTTGGGCTGCCGCCTCATTGGCCAGCCGCTGACGTTCTGCCTGTGCTGCCTCCTGCTGAGCCTTGGCGGTAGCTA